ATTTGTGTACCACACGGGTACTCGCATATGCCAAAAGTTCTTTTTATTGTTTAAATGTTACATTTTTTTGGAACGCGTTTAGATATTACATATATAATATTATTAAGTGATTGATTGTGAATTATCATCACATTTGGTTGAGATGAACAAGATCGTGACGTAAGAACAACAAAACAAACTTAGCCTTCATATGGAAACAAGAAAACAAAGACAAAATATCTCTGTCGTCTTTTATCTTAAGTGAGTTATTGTGTCTCTGATTAGAATATGATACACTGATACAGAGGCTACCTATCCAATAATCACTAAAATGAACGGTATGACTGTTTTCACCTTCATTGTGGTTACAATGCACTATGGCACATAAAAGAAACTTACAAAAGAGTAATTGATGTCTTTAACTAGACAGTTAACAAGAAGATATTTGTGCCCAACTAATTTCAGCTTCCTAAAGCTATTTTGAAGTTGTTTTCTATTCTTATCATACAGAAAATTTTGTTTATAATTTTAAATTATTACCGCATTATCTTTTTGGTAATTTGTGGAAATTACCAATCAATTTTTTGTTGTTACCAAATCGATTCTTTTTTTGGTGTTTTCTTACTTTAAAAATTTGCAGCATCGAAAATATTATTATTCCAATAAAACACACAGTCATTAATCCATTTCATAATAAGTAGAAAAAAATAAATAATATTACTACTTCCTTTTGCCGGGAATTTTGTTATACATTATACGACTTATTCTTGGGTTCATCAATTTCTAGATTCGGCAACCAATATGACTATATTATATATTTAATATATTTTTAAAAAATGAAATAAAATATTGTCAAATTTGATTATATGTTTAAAATAAAAATAAATAAAATAGTAATAATTACAAGAAAAAAAAATCTTTTTATTAATATTTTTATCACCATCAGTAAATACTAAACTCTAAATCCTTGAATAAATCCTAAATCCTAAACCTTGAATTTTTTTTTGAAAATACTAAAACCTTAATCATAATCCCTAAACCTTTGAATAAAATATAAATCCTCTAGTTTATGGTTTATCCTAGGGTTTAAAATTTATTATTTAGGGTTTAGTGATTTGTTGACGACGTTAAAAATATTTTAAATTTTATTTATTTTTATCCAAAGGTTTAGGGATTGAGGATAAGGATTTAGTATTTTTAAAATTTAGTGTTTAATGATTTTGATTTAATGTTCAAAATTTATTAAAGGGTTTATGGTTTATTTAAGGATTTACTGTTTTGGTAACGGTGTTAAAATACTTAAATTTTTTTTTTGCTAGTATTATTATTTTTAAATATAATATAATTTACTAATATTTTATTTTATTTTATTTTCAAAAAAATAAATATATAATAATACAATTCTATTAATCGGTAAATTTAGAGGTTTAGGCTAGAAGGTGAATTAAAAAATAACTCATATTATACTTCACGTACCTAATTTATCACGAGCGTGGGAAAGTAAATGAGGAAGTGGCAGAAGAACAGAGCGATGTAGGGCCCCGACAAAGATGTGCTATAAGTAGCTTACTATTCTAATGCGTTAACTGTTAACAGTCCGATTATGCAAGTTGTAGCGCCGTAATATACTAATTAATCTTTAGTTCTACTCTTAATCTGCTACGTTTATAAAAGCAAACACTGTAAAGCCAAACAAACAAAAAAATTGACAAAAATCTAACCTTAACCAACATCAGTCGCTTGTTTATGTTTATTTCAGTTGGCAGTTCTTATCTATCCCGATCACTTATGGTTTACTATAATTCTTGTCTTTTTGGTACTATTTGTATTTAATCAAGTTTGAATCAGATTATTTAATGCTAAGAATATATAATGTCAATAACTTAATCTCGGTTTAAATCTAATTTTTATCGGAAGAATGATTTTAGGGGATGTTATTTGAGCTATATAATTATGGATGGCATGATCCAGAACCTTTGCCCAAAGTAATCTTATATATTAAAACAGAAGTCATGACTTGATTTCATGTGTGATTTTTTTAAAAATGGACTATTACTAGAAAGTTATGTTACATTAACTCTCTAATAATATTATCATTATTATATCTTATAATATGCTTAACAATTTTGTTTTGGTAAATTATCCCACACCTTCCAACTTAGTCACGCAAAATATGTCAATAGATATAAATTTAGGAATCTTCTATTATTTATAAGGAAATATGTCAATAATAGTTAAA